TCCAGGATGGTGAAAGGGCCAACAAATCTGGGACTGAGCTTTTTACAGGGCAGGCGCAGTCTGATGTCCCGAGTTGACAGCCATACCTTCTGACCTGGTTGAAAGGTAGGTGTTTCAGCTCGTCGAAGGTCCACGGTCATCTTCTGCCTGCACACTGCCCGTTGGAGATGGGAGCAGCGTCCCAGACGTTCTCACTTTCCCGGAACCAGTAGTCCACCGCCGGAACATCAGAAGGCTCCCCGGACCAGGGGAACAGTGGAGGCTGGAACCCGAGCACGCACTGGAAGGGAGTGAGACCAGTAGAAGGCTGTCGCAGGGAATTCTGGGCGTACTCTGCCCAGCCCAGGAACTGGTTCCAGGAATCCTGGTGGCCATGGCAGAAGGTTCGCAGGAATCGCCCCACCTCCTGAATCTTCCTCTCTGTTTGACCATTCAATTGTGGATGGTATCCGGACGAGAGGCTTACGGTCACACCTAGGAGTCTGAAGGCATTCCATACTTTGGAGATAAACTGAGGTCCCCGGTCGGAGACGATGTCTTCGGGAATTCCATAATATCAGAAGACTTCGGGCTTTTGGACATGGCACAGTCTGGACATACTTGCATGAACCTTCTCACGTCTTTTGGACATGGCACAGTCTGGACATACTTGCATGAACGTCCCTTGCCATATTGGGCCACCAGAAGCGATCCCGTAGCAGCGAGAGGGTGTTTTTGGCTCCTGGATGGCCAGTGCCTCGGGAGGAGTGAGCAGAGTGAATCAGTGGGGTGCGTTGTGTCCGTGGTACGTACTGGCATCCTGGAGGACAGCCCGGCGGATTGTTGGGAGCCGTGTGTGAGGCCACGGAAGGGGAATTCCATTCAATGGGACTGACGATCATCTTTGGTGGAATGATACTTTCCGGTTCTTCTGGGCCTTCCACATGACTGTGAATACGTGACAAGTCGTCTGCCTTGACGTTCCTGGGACCAGGGCGATAAGTAATGGTAAAATTGAACCTGGTAAAGAATAAGGCCCTTCGTGCTTTCCGCCGGGCTGAGCTTCCATGAGAAGGCACATGGGTGGAGTCTGGCTGGCTTCCCCTGCTGGGGACAGCACTGCCCCCACTCCTGTAGTGGAGGCATCGACTTCCACGACGAATGGGAGGCCGGGATCTGGATGGACTAAGAGTGGGGCGCTAGTGAAGGCTCTCTTGAGGGAGGAGAAAGCTTCTAAGCCCGCGGGAGTCCAGGACAGAGACTTGGGTTTCCCTCGGAGTAAGTTGGTGAGGGGGCTGGTGATCCTGCTGTAGCCGAGAATGAAGCAACGGTAAAAGTAGGAGTTCTCTGTTGCCGATGTCATAATTATTTTCCGCCGGGCTGAGCTTCCATGAGAAGAAGGCACATGGGTGGAGTCTGGCTGGGTTCCCCTGCTGGGGACAGCACTGCCCCCACTCCTGTAGTGGAGGCATCGACTTCCACGACGAATGGGAGGCCGGGATCTGGATGGACTAAGAGTGGGGCGCTAGTGAAGGCTCTCTTGAGGGAGGAGAAAGCTTCTAAGCCCGCGGGAGTCCAGGACAGAGACTTGGGTTTCCCTCGGAGTAAGTTGGTGAGGGGG